TTCTTGTTCTTAACTGGGAGTGAGGAAAGAAAGAAAAGATTGTGTTTGTCCTTTGAATTAGATACTTTCACATAGTTGGCACTGGGGTCTTGCCTTACCCTCGCCAGCTGGTTTTCAGAAAAAGGAAATGAGAGAGGAAGAGCTAGAAGAGAGAGACAGAGAGATAGAAAGAGACAGACAGGGAGACAGAGAGAGAGACACACACAAAGACAGAGACACAGAGACACAGAGAGACAGATGCAGAGAGACGGAGTGGCAAAGGCATGCCCAGAAATTGCTCCCCGACACAGTTCAAATCTTTGGAGAGGTAGGGGTCGCTAGGCAGCTTAATTTCCCTCCTACCTCTTGGTGCCTCCTCCCCCAGTTTAACCAAAGTCCACCCGGCAGGGTGTCTGGGAGACACAAGTGTCTGTCTCCCGCAGTGCTCGCTTGGAAAGTTGACGCGGGCGTTTTTCCTGATGGGGGCCGGGAAACCGGTGGCGCTGTGCCAGGACGGGAGGAGTGAGTGGGGAAGCGCTTCGGGTGAGGAGTCGCAACTCTGGCGAGAAATTGTGAGAAAATTGTGATCCGGAGACACCTTTTACAAACAAAAACAAATGACTTGGTGGGAATCGGCTGGGCTCCCACACAGCTGGTGGAGGGGGTTGCATCGGGGGACTGCACCTTGGCTGCAGGGGAGGGAGGCGTGCAGTGTACTGGCAGTGTAGACTGGCTCCCAGACAGATATGCAAGTTAGAGACACAGAGAAACAGAGAGAGAACTCAGCAGCTATAGAGGGGTCTTTGTAGCGGCATCCCGGGGAGAACATTCAGTCTGTGTAAGCTCTTAGTGCAGTTTTACGAGTCGATTCTAAGTGAAATCATTTCCAGTGACGATTATCTAGGTTTCAGCAAACTAAAAAGAGAGATAAAAAGGCACCAACCAACTAAGCCTGGTGGTGGTGGTGGCACATGCCTTTAATCACAGCACTCTGGAGGCAGAAGCAGGTTGATCTCTGTGAGTTCGAGGCCAGTCTGTTCAACGAGAGCTAGTTTCAGGACAGCTAGGCCTGTTACACAGAGATACCCTGTCTCCAAAAACAAACAAACAACAAATCAAAACAAAAAAACCACCAACTACTTTTGAAAAAAGACTCAGGGACTGGAGAGATGGCTCAGAGGTTAAGAACACTGATTGTTCTTCCAGAGGTCCTGAGTTCAATTCCTGACAACCATATATAAAGAAATCTGGTGCCCTCTTCTGGCCTACAGGCACACATGCAGATAGAACACTGTAAATAAAATAAATTTAAAAAATCTTTAAAAAAAAAAAGAAAAAGAAAAAAGACTCAGTTATCTAGAGAACAGAGAATTGTCATCTTACCAGGGTTATCCCCTGGAAAATTCTCTTGAGTCCAAAATGTGAATCAGATCCCTTGGTTTATGAATACATACTTAAAACAAAAGGGTTTGGACTTTATGTGAAAGATGTCTAGGGAGACAAGGCAGCCTGAGGCTTCTCTTAGGCCTGATGATGTAGACCATGTAAGCTTAGGGCTTCCTTCCTCTGAGAAGAGCCAAACAGTAACTAATTCTTTATAGGTGGACTTGCCTAGTCACTTATTTATTTTAGTTATTTCTCCAGTGGTCTAAAGAGGCAGATCATAATATTTTAGATTACAAATATTTACTTCAGTCCTCCCTCATAATGACTTCCTAAGAATCTTCCAGTGAATGATGAGCACTCCCTTCGCAAACACTTGCCAGTCACCTTTGAGAATTATGGTGACTGAAATTCAAGAACATTCATTGTGTATTGTGTGTCTTTTCCCTTACTCACTAATTTTATAATCAGAGATTAGAGGGTCATGAAATGTGATCACGGATGTTTAAAAATCCTGCTCAACACATTGTTGACAAATCTCATCCATCTAGTAACTAGTTATGTAGCTTTAGAAATGTCTCTTGGCCTCTGAATTTCAGGCTTACAAGGATAAGGCCTTCCCTGCAGATTTGTCTTGGATCAAGTATGATAATGAACAGAAAGGCATGTTTTAAACAGGGAGACAGGACCAAGGCCCTCCCCACTACATCTAGACTGAGCAAGGCATCCCTCCAAAGAGAATGGACTCAAAAAAGCCAGTCCAAACAGTAGGGATAAACCCTGGTCCCACCGTCAGTGGCCCCGCAGATCATTCCAGTCATACAACTGTCACCCACATTCAGAGGGCCTAGTTTGGTCCTATGCTGTTTCCCCTGCTTTGAATTCAGAGTCAGTGAGTTCCCTTAGCTCAGGTAAGCTGTTTCAGTGGGTTTCTCCATCCATCATGATCTTAAGCCATTTGCCTTTATTATTGCTTCTCCCCCTCTTTGAGTGGACTTTGGGAGCTCACCCAGTGCTTCACTGTGGATCTCTGCATCTGCTTCCATCAGTTATTGGGTGAAACTTCTATGCTGACAGTTAGGGTAGTCGTTGATCTGATTACAGGGTAACCGGTTCAGGCACCCTCTTCACTATTGCTTAGGGACTTAGCTGGGGTCATTCTTGAGGATTCCTGGGAATTTCTCTAGCATCAGGTTTCTCCCTAGCCTCATAATGACTCCCTCTCTTTCATTGTTTTCCCACTCCAGCCCTCCCCCAATTTGACCATCCTCATCCCCCATCCCCTCCACTTTACTGTCCCCACCCTCAGTTTACCCAGAAGATCTCATCTATTTCCCCTTCCCAGGGTGATCCATGTGTCTCTCTTAGGGTCCTCCTTGTTTCCTAGCTTCTCTGGTGCTATGGATTATGATCTGATTAAGTTTGTTTTATATCTAGTATCCACTTATGAGTGAGTACATACCTTGTTTGTCTTTCTGGGTCTGGTTTAGCTTGCTCAGGATGATTTTCTTTTCTAGTTCCATCAATTTGCTTGCAAATTTCATGATGTCATAGTTTTTTACTGCTGAGGAATAATGCATTGTGTAAAGTACCACATTTTCTTCATTCGCTCTTTAGTTAACGGACATCTAGGTTGTTTCCAGGTCCAAGAAAGAATTTTAAAAAACATTTACATAAAACAAAGAAAAATGCTCTATTTTCAACCAAATATCACACCATGAGAAAATTACGTGTGTTGGGGGGGTATTTGTGCAGTATGCTCCAGGTTCCCAGCTTTTCTGAGCTGCTATCCATGCTGGCGTGGACTTTGGTGGTGCAGAGTCATCTCTGCTCCTTGTAAGTAATCCTTCGCCTAGATTCCTGTAAGTATTCCCCACTAAAACTAGCGGTTCACCACACTGGACTTCGATGGTATCCCTGCTTTGGTCTGTCTTGGGCTCCCTATCTGGGGCAAGTAGATGTGCATGTTGTATCTGCCCAGGAGAACTTTGTCACACAGCAGCAATGCTTTTAATATGTAATATGTTTGGAATTAAATAGCAAGAAACAGTTTGAAAGTCTCATAATCTTATTTATTTACTTATTTAAGATTTTTTTCATTTTATTTTTTGCGTGTTTTGCCTGCATATATGTCTATGCTGGGTGCCTACAGAGATCAGACGTGGGAATCGGAGTTACAGACAGCTGTACACCACCATGTGGGTGCCAAGAATCAAACCCAGGTCCTCTGCAAGAGTAACCAGTGCGACTGACCATGGAGCCATCTCTCCAGCCCATCGTTTATTTTTAATAGAGATTCGGGTACTGGCATAAGAACAGACAGCAGGACCAATGGAACCAAATAGAAGACCCGGACATCAATCCACACATCTTCAAACACCTGATATTTGATAAAGAAGCAAAAAATATCAAATGGAAAAAAGAAAGCATATTTAACAAGTGGTGCTGGCATAACTGGATATCAACCTGTAGAAAAATGAAAATAGACCCATATCTATCACCAGGCACAAAACTCAAGTCCAAATGGATCAATGACCTCAATATAAAGCCAGCCGCACTGAACCTTATAGAAGAGAAAGTGGGAAGTACACTTGAACGCATTGGCACAGGGAACCACTTCCTAAATAGAACCCCAGCAGTACAGAAACTAAGAGAAACAATTAATTAATGGGACCTCCTGAAACGAAAAAGCTCCTGTAAAGCAAAAGACACTGTCAACAAGACAAAACAACAGCCTACAGAATGGGAAAATATCTTCACTAACCTCACATTAGACAGAGGTCTGATCTTTAAAATACACAAAGAACTCAAGAAATTGGACACCAAAAGATCACATAATCCAATAAAAAATAGAGTACAGATCTAAATAGAGAACTCTCAACAGAGGAATCGAAAATGGCTGAAAGACACTTAAGGAAATGTTCAACATCCTTAGTCATCAGAGAAATGCAAATCAAAACAACTCTGAGATTCCATCTTACACCAATAAGAATGGCCAAACTTAAAAACACTGATGACAACTTATGCTGGAGAGGTTGTGGGGAAAAGGGAACACTTCTGCATTGCTGGTGGGAATGCAAGCTGGTACAGCCCCTTTGGATGTCAATGTGGTGATTTCTCGGAAAATTAGGAAACAACCTTTCTCAAGACTCAATAGTACCAGTCTTAGGTATATATCCAAAGGATGCTCAATCGTGCCACAAAGACATGTGCTCAACTATGTTCATAGCAGCTGTTTGTCTTAGCCAGAACCTGGAAACAACCTAAACACCCCTCAATCGAAGAATAGATAAAAAAGTGGTACATTTTCACAATGGAGTACTACACAGCAGAAAAAAAGTAACAGCAGCTTAAATTTTGCAGGCAAATGGATGGAACTAGAAAACATTATTTTGAGTGAGGTAACCCAGACACAGAAAGACAATTATCACATGTACTCACTCATAAGTGGTTTTTAAACATAAAACAATGAAAGCCAGCCTACAAACCACAATCCCAGAGAACTTAGACAACAATACTGATACTAAGAGAGACTTACATAGATCTAATCTACATGGGAAGTAGAAAGTATAAAAAGACAAGATCTCCTGAGTAAATTGGGAGCATGGGGACACTGAGGGAGAGTTGAAGGGGGAGGGGAGCAGAGAAAAATGTAGAGCTCAATGAATATCAATAAAAAAATAGAGATTTGTTATATAATTCTTTAAACTTTACTATGTTTTGAGTTTTCATAATAAAATATCAGCAAATAGATAAAAATTGTCAGGAAAATACTAGGCTTTGCTTAGGAAGTACATTTCCTTTCTGGGGGAATTCCAAATGCCTAACAGACCATGTTTATTGCAGTAGAAGGTGGGCTTCAGGCCCACAGACCACTTGGGATAGAGGGAATCTTCTGCCAGGACTCTTGGATTCCATTTCTTTTCCTTGTTTTAGTTTTGAGGCAGGTTCTTGCCCCAAAGCCCAGACTGGCCTTGAACTCAAGATCTTCCTGCCTACGCCTCTCAAATGTTCCTTTTACAGGTGCAAGCCATGCCACCTGGCTAGATCAGGCTCTTTAGATTATGTGAGCTTTTCGTTCACCCAGTTGTTCTTCAGTGAGTTTTAGCTAGTTTCTCTGCCTATACTGAAATTTGTCACTATGCCTGGAGTGGACCCCACCTTGCCACCTGTGACTCACGGGAGGAGGAGTAGATTAAGATGCTTCAGAGCTTATGAGACACCTGATCCTAAGAGGTTGATCATATTTGTTCTGGGTCTGAAGTTTACATGATAAAGAACAGTGGGAGGGCTTGATATGATATAAAAAGATCTGGAAATCACTGGAGCATCATGTTGCATCTGAAACTGCCAGGTAAGGAGTGAGTTTGGGGAGAGGGGATACTAAAATCTTTGCCCGAGAAGAGAATGCCTAGATTGTGGCAGGGGAGACTTGAACATTGGCACCTGAACCTCAGCTAGTTTGGGGCACAGGGGCTTCGAGTTCCAGCTAAAGGGATGAGGATACCATGGGTGCTCAGGGCATGTAAACGGGAAGATCTGACTGCTAGAGGAGGGATTATGACAACTGGATGCCTTGGATCTAATGTCTTGAGCTTGTCCCCAGTTATGCGACCTCCCAGCCTATCCCAGCTGCACCAGAACTGCTTGGACACTGATGTCGGCAGTCTTTTCTGTCACTCCCTTTGTCCTCCTGGGTGACACAGAGGCACCTCTAAATGCTCTTTCTTCTGACTCAACAGCATGATAACGGTAGGGAGTTAACCTCTGTGCCTCACACGCCTTATCAGCCAGGCTAATCTCACACAGGCAAGTTTGGCTCAGATTCTTAGTTTAGTGAGCTTCATCATCTCCATGCCTTAGAAATGGCCTCTGTCTCGTCTTCTGAGTACTTTCCTGCTGTGTGCCAGGATGGGATGAGGTTCAACTCAGATAATCCAACAGAAAGTCAGGATTGATCTTTATGATTGAGAAAAGAACGTTAGCTACAACCAGACCAGAGAAATTAGGGACTCAGGAGACAGCATCGGGAAGGAGCAAGACTATCAGTGGACAGTCTCCTCTGAGCTCAAGGCTGCATTGATTAGATCTACATTGAAAAACTGAAAAGCCTAAGTCTACATGCAAAGCCGGGGAATTGATAAGCTTTCTTCTTTCCCCTTCTTCACATTCCAGCCTCAGAATGTTGGCCATTGCTCTCCTAGCCTTTCTCTGTGTGTCAGCCTCTGCCAATGAAGGTAAGTGAGATGCCTGGTCATGGGATCCCGGGAAGAGCGACTCTTGCAAAACTGTTAGTCAGAGATTTTTACAGTGGTTTGGAGTGGTGGGGGAGAATAAAGATGTTAGGGAACAGCTGGGTTCCTGGGCTGTTTCTACCCCCAACGCCTCTTCCCCTCTAGTTCAGGTCAAGTCCTCCTCTTATAATGGGGAATATGGAGGCGTTACAGGAAGACGATTCTCTCATTCTGGCAACCAGATGGAAGGTCCCATTACCGCCATCCGTATTCGAGCTGACACACACTATATCATAGGGTAAGAGTCTTCAGGTTCCTGTGATCTAGGGTCTATGGAGGGTCATACTATACTGAGTTCTTATTTACCTTGAATCATGCTTCTTTAAATCAACAAGTCACAGGTAATACATGAGCGGGTAAAATGTTGGAAGTCCTAGGTTCTGGATCTGTGGGTTTGTTTTTTAACTTCACTTCCTCCAGTGTGCCTGAAGTTGGAAAATCATGTAATCCTGAGCTCTCAGGGACCTCAAACTGAACACATTGATTTTTCTCTCTTGTCCATCTTTGCTTGTTGCTCTCCTGAGCTAGTTCTTTCTGTCCCTGTTGTTGGCTAAAGTTCTCAGCATGACCTTCTAGGGTTCATCCATCATTCATATCCAGGGTGTGGGTGTTGCGGGGGACTTGTCTTCTCTGTTACCTCTTTAAAAGTCTCATCATATAGACCAGGAGGTCCTGAATTTTGATCACCTCCAGTCTCCAGGTACGCTACGGCAGGACATGGAGTGACAATGTAGGCGGCACACATGGAGACTTGGAAGAGATCTTTCTATACCCTGGGGAATCAGTGATTCAGGTGTCCGGCAAATACAAACACTATCTGAGGAAGCTGGTCTTCATCACAAGCAAGGGCCGCCGCCTGTCTTTCGGAGGAAAAGAAGGCATAAGTTTCAATGCTGTTCCCTTGCATCCTAACACTGTACTTCGCTACATCAGTGGCAGAGCTACCAACTACATCACTGCCATTGGCCTGCACTGGGGTAACTACCCTAGTAACCAGAACAACTGCTAAACCTTCAGCTTCTTGTTTGCCAGGGACATTGTGTAAGAACTCCCTTACCACCAACTCCTATGCAAACAACTTAATAAATGAGCGTGGCTAAATTCAGCATCTTGTTTGTATCCTAATTCCAGTAGGAACACATGGCTCTTATTTCTGGCTCTCTTTGCATGTTAATCTTGGGAAAACGAGAGGACAAGAATAGTACTAGAACCCTGGCTTGCTTTTGTAGATATAATTGGAGATAAAATAATGGCTACGTGTATGTTCAAGGATGGTTTCTGAGAATGCTCATTCAAAGGAGTTCAGAAGGGAGGGAAAAGTAGTCATGCAATCCTTCCCCAAACACAGACGTTCCACACTCTAGCTGCCCTCCCCACCTGTCCGTCCATTGAGCAGATGCCAGAAGAATGTCACCTCATTATTTTGACCTTAAGCCATTTGGTGTGCATGGTGGGCCTGGACCATTATCCTTTGTTCTTTTCCAGAATCTACCTAACTCCTGATACTTAGGTCAATTTTGTACCTGTGGATGCTGTTCTCTTTTGTTAGCTCACTTCCTCCCAACTTTACTCCATCACGTGTCCAAAGCAGTCTCTCCCCCCCTCTGTCTCTGTCTCTGTCTCTGTCTCTCTGTCTCTGTCTCTGTCTCTGTCTCTCTCTCTGTCTGTCTCTCTCTCTCTGTGTGTGTGTGTGTGTGTGTGTGTGTGTGTGTCTGTGTCTGTGTGTGTCTGTGTATGTACTGGGTTGGGGAGCGGGGAGTAGAGTGTTGATGGTTTAGTTCTGAGCATGGAACAGTCACTTCTTCTCAGCACCCTGACTGGCTCTGAGTTTCCGCATGAATACCTGCCCACTGGAGGCAAACACGTGATTCTCTAACTAAGGTTGAGAGCAGCAGCACCCTATAGGTATAAACACGAATATTTAGATTGTATTTTAATGACAGGTCTATTTAACAAAAAGAACAGTAGGGGACTCCTCTCTAGAACCTATGACTTCCTCAGCCATGGTTTTTTTTTTTTTTTTTTTTGCTTAGGTTTCACAGTGCCAGGAATGAATTTTCTCTGTAGAGTGGACCTCAAATCCAAACAGAAAGTGAATGACTACTTCCAAGACATTCATGCCACTATTGAACCAGTAGCACTTTTGCCTGACGGGTCAGTGCTGTATAGCATGCAGGGTCCACTACTGCTCTAGGAAACCACAGATGTTTCTCTCCCATAGCACATTTCGGCACTAGCTAGCCGGGAGGAAATTTTCATGTCAGTTCCTACTCGATTTCTCTGTGTCCTCCAACTCACGAGTGTGCTGTCCTCAGCAACAAGGTCTTACTCTCTGATTCTGGTTGGAAACCAAGAGGAATGGCAGCCATCTGTGTTGTTTGGGGGGGCATCGAGGGCCTCCCTGGCTAACAATTCATAAGGAAATATTCCACACTTGGCACTGGAAATTTTAGATACTATACTATGGCTTGTGGGAGAAGCATTATGTATCCATGGAGGATAACTCCTTTCTAACACCTTAAACTAATATTTTTTAAAAATATATCTTCATATTATTTTGTCCTACCTGGAGGAATATGGTATTATATGGGGATGTTTTGATAATAACTGAAAAATATTTACCCAAGTTATATAAGCAAAAGCAAATGGAAATCAGATTCCTGCCACTTTCCTAAACGAGTACAATTTCCAAATTCTAAATCCTTATCCTTATACCCACAGATAGGTGTAAGGTATAAGCTCCCACTCCGCATCACAGAGTTTCTCCTTGTAACAGATGGAGAACACTACAGATATCCACAAATGGTCATAAAGCAGAGAACCTTGAGCAATGGTCCCTACTGATGCATTTACATCACAACTCCTAGTCAGGAGCCCCTGGGAATGTCACAGAAAAGGGGACAGAAAGATTACAAGAACCAGAGGACCAAGATGTCTGCTGTGAGAGGGTGTCTTTCATATAAACCATGGAAGTTGTACCCATAAAAGTCTCAATACTGTGGTCAACTCAATTAGACCCGCAAAATGCTAGCACCAGTTGACATGCCAGCGTGAATGAGACAACCCTCCCAAAGCCTAGATGAAGAGCTATCGGTAACTCATGGCTTCTTAGAGGAGAATCGATGTTCCCTATGGATGAGGTCCCTAATTTGTTATTCAAAGCCAAGCAGTTAGGCTTAAACACACATATACATGAGCAACACTAAATGGTCTCATAGATCATACGTGTGTGTGTGTGTGTGTATCAATTACACACAATACAGTGTAATGTTTAAACACTTCTATATTTCTTCTGGACATTTATCCAAGGGTTACTAGCCTATCTTTTGACTCCAGGGAGAACTCCCACCCTTGGATTAGAGATTATGTCAGAGCACAACATCACAGTTTAGTTGATCACCTTTATTAGCGACTGCAGATTGGAAATTTGACTAGTTTCATCACCAACTCTAGAACGGAACACCACTCCACAAATAGAATGGTTGTTCGGAGAATCAGAAAGATAGGAGCTGGTCTGTGAGTGTAGAAAGATCCTCTCTAATGGAAGCACTCAGAAGGTAGAGACAATGATCTCTGTGACCTCAATCAGGATATACCACAGCATGTGAACATTGTTCTCAGCTGGATGTGATGGTTCATGCCTATAGTGCTAACACTTGGAAGGCTAAGGCAGAAGAATTACCATGCATTTAAAGCCAGTTTGGTCTATAGTGTAAGATGCTGTGTTAACACTTCCCCCTCAATTCATTTCTTTTTTTTTTCCCAAGTGAATAGATTTATTTATTTATTTATTTTCTTTTTTTTAAGTAATTTTATTAAATTATAAAAGTTTTCATTTACGCCCCTCTTCCCAACACCCTCCCACTCCCCCCCTCCCTCTCCTCCTCCCTCTTTGTCCCTAAGGTCAGTCAGGGTTTCAAGCCCTGTGGGAAGTTCAAGATCGTCCCCCCTCCCTCCAGGTCCAGGAAGGTGAGTATCCAAACAGACTGGATCCCAAAAATCCAGTATATGCAAAGGAAACTAGTCCCAGTGACATTGTCAATGGCTTCTCAGAAAGACTCCGGGCCAGCCACATTCAGAAAATCCGGCGACATTCAGAGAATCTGGTTGGATCACATGCTCGTTCAGACGCAGTCCAACTGCCCTTGGTAAACTCTCATTAGATCCGACCCCTTGTATCAGTGGGTGATAGCATCCCTCGCAGTCCTTCATCATTTTCTTCGTCCTTCTGCTCCTCATTTGGCCAGATGAAGGATCTATGGTGATAAGCAAAATATTCACCAGTATGGTTATGGGCCAAGGCCGATTCAGGCACCCTCTCCTCTGTCCAGAGAACAATCTGGGGATCTCTCCTTGGACCTGGGATCCCATATATAATCAAGTTTCCTATAAACCCTAAAATGACTCCCTTAGTTGAAATATATTCTTCCCTGATCTCATATTCATCCTTCCTCCCTTCACCCCATCCCGGTCAACCAAGCTTTTTCCATTCCTCCCCTACTCCCTTCTCTCTAACCCTCTCCCCTTCCAACAACCCTCCCACCCCCCCCCCGCACCCCAGGTTACCTGGGACTCTTGACTATTTCCTACCTCCTGGCGGATAGCTAAATAATCTTCATCAGGTTTGTCTTCTTATTTAGTTTCTCTAGGATCACGAATAATAGGCTCAAAGACCTTTAAATTATGGTTAGAATCCACTTATGAGTGAATACATACCGTGTTCCTCTTTTTGGGTCTGGCTTACCTCACTCAGTAAAGCGTTTTCTATTTCCATCCATTTGCATGCAAAATTCAAGATGTCATTATTTTTTACCGCTGAGTAAAACTCTAATGTGTATATGTTCCACACCTTTTTTAACCATTCTTCTATTGAGGGGCACCTAGGCTGTTTCCAGGTTCTGGCTATTACAAATAGTGCTGCTATGAACATAGTTGAACAAATGCTTTTGTAGTATGCTAGGGAATCTCTAGGGTATATTCCCAAGAGTGGAATTGCTGGGTCCTGAGGGAGATTGACTCCCAGTTTCCTGAGAAACCGCCACACTGATTTCCACAGTGGCTGCACAAGTTTGCATTCCCACCAACAATGGATGAGGGTTCCCCTCATTCCACATCCTCTCCAGCATAGGCTATCATTGGTGTTTTTGACTTTAGCTATTCTGACAGGTGTAAGATGGTATCTCAAAGTGGTTTTAATTTGCATTTCCCTGATCGCTAAGGAGGTTGAGCATGACCTTAAGTGTCTTCTGGCCATTCGAAGTTCATCTGTTGTGAATTCTCTGTTCAGATCAGTACCCCATTTTTTAATTGAGTTAATTAGAGTTTTAGTGTCTAGTTTCTTGAGTTCTTTGTATATTTTGGAGATCAGACCTTTGTCTGATGAGGGGTTGGTGAAGATCTTCTCCCAGTCAGAAGGCAGCCTTTTTGTCTTACTGACAGTGTCCTTTGCTTTACAGAAGCTTCTCAGTTTCAGTAGATCCCATTTATTCATTGTTTCTCTTATTGTCTGTGCAGCTGGGGTCCTGCTTAGGAAGAGGCCTCCCGTGCCTATATCTTGTAGACTACTTCCCACTTTCTCTTCTATCAGGTTCAAAGTGGACGGATTAATGTTGATGTCTTTAATCCATTTGGACCTGAGTTTTGTGCATGGTGATAGGTATGGATCTACTTTCATCCTTCTACAGGTTGACATCCAGTTATGCCAGCACCATTTGTTAAAGATGCTTTCCTTCTTCCATTGTATACCTTTAGCTCCCTTGTCAAAAATTAGGTGCTCATAGGTTTGTGGGTTAATATCCGGGTCTTCTATTCGATTCCAAAGGTCGATTTCTCTGTTCTTATGCCAATACCAAGCTGTTTTCAATACTGTAGCTCTGTAATAGAGTTTGAAGTCAGGGATGGTAATGCTTCCTGAAGTTCCTTTATTGTATAAGATTGTTTTGGCTATCCTGGGTTTTTTGTTTTGCCATATAAACTTGATTATTGTTTTCTCAAGGTCTGTGAAGAAGTTTGATGGGATTTTGATGGGGATTGCATTGAATCTATAGATTGCTTTTGGTAGAATTACCATTTTTACTATGTTGATCCTCCCAATCCAAGAACAAG